TCGTTCACCTCAGACTCCATCTAGTCTCGGGCCTGAGCCTCCTCGAGCAGAGCCTTTCTGGAGGCCTCGCGGGATCCGCTCTTGAGGGACTGATTGAGGGACCTCGCCCTTACGTGGGCGCCCTCGCCCACCAAAGATGAGTCACCCGACATAAAAAGTCCGCCACGGCTAAATTCCCGTGTCCAGGGACAAGAGGCGTGAGAGGGCCAGCTGGCACTCTACCGTGTGGCAGCCCTGGCTTAAGAACCCGTGGCTGCCATCGAATCTCTGACAATCAAGGTCGATAGCGCTTCTCTTGTCGGCTCTGTCGGATGCCGACTTGGCATCGACGACCGCGAGAGTGGCTGCCTTCTCTCCGGGCTCGTCATTCGAAGAGGAATCGACCGACAAAAGAGAAGCACCTAGGTCCTAGGTCCTGTGAAGGCTTGGGAAAGTCGCCGAAAGCAGCATCTCGCCACAGCACCTGCAACCATTGAGCTTCGGCGAGGGCCCCGCAGAGCGAGAGTCTCGGACGCAGCGGCGCCGCTGATTGCCCGTTCGAGACGCTGCGACCGCCAGGACAAGAAGGAAACTCGCGTACTGCGGTTGGCTCTGACTGCAGCATCGGCGGCCGTGACGTGCCAGGCCCCCTGGGGGCCCTGTTTGCTGGCGGACCCGGGGCCCGGTGCGTCCGACGCGGTGGCGGATGCAATCGGCGCGGGGCCCAGGGCCCAGACCGTGAGGCGCTGAGAAGGCCCTGAGACGCTTGCATGCTTTGGTCAGCGCCACGGCCTCGGCAGCCTCCTGCTCAGGCACCCGCGCTGAAGCCCCGATCTCCTCCCACGCCTCTGTAATCATCGCGTCCCAGGGGCCGTAGTCCAAGGCTTCGACTGTCTGCTCGCGGAGGCCCCCGAGGTCGAAACCTGCATTCTTGATGGCCACGCGAGCTGGAGACTTGGATTTGATGCCCTTCTTGCTGAGACTGGCGGCCGCCATCTCGTAGGTGGCCAGGCGGAGCGACAGAGGGCCTCGAGCCCGTCGGCACTTGACCCGGAGACTCCGACGGAAGGCAGCGGGGCCCGCCACCCCCGGGCCCCCAGGGGCACGCCCCACCCGAGACAGGCAGGAGAGAGGGAGAGGGACTGAAAACGCACCTGGCTGTCCTCGCATCTGAAGCTAACCCCCGCCGGTCAACAAATATCCGCCCTGTCGGTCCTTGGCAAGAAATAGGGGGCCACGTGCGAACCCTACCCCTCCCCCTCAGAAATCGCGGGGGGTAGGGGTAGAGTTTGAATTTGGCCCCATAAAGAAAAGAAAGATGGCGCTTGGGAGGCGCTCGTAGATCTGGCGGGCCACGCGGAAGTCCTCGCGCCTGCGCTGCGCGGGGCCGATCCAGCGGAAGCCGGAGCTGTGCTGAATGGGGCTCCAGCATGACTGTCTCGCCGTTGCCCGACGCCGTCATGGCACTGCCGCGCAGGTCGATCGCCGCCTCCAGCCAGAGCCTTCAACGGCCTCGCCGAAAGCAGCAGCGGACCGTGGCCCTCCAAGATCAGGAACTCGGCGGCGCCGCACCCCCCGATGCCGACCGGGAATAGGGCCGCCCCGATCGGCGAGCTGGCACCTCCGATGCTGGTGGCCTCCACGTTCGACGCGGGGGTCCTATCGAAATGGACCCAGGATCCAACAGACGCGCTTCCTCAGGGCTTCGTCTAAGCTCCGAGCTTCTTCCTTGTCGATCAAGGCCTGCGCGGCGGCTGTGTCGACCAATCCGCAGGCGCCGAAGTTCTCCGTGGAAGCCACTGTTTCTCGGACCCGTCGGGGAGTTTGCTGGTCCAGTCTACCAGGATATCTCGATTCCGCTGGGCCGAGTCGGCGCCGCTGAAAGTCTGGGGGGCCACCTTGTCGCTCTCGTCCTCCAGGCCCTCGAACCCGTTGATCAAAGTGGCCGACGAGAAGGCGTTGCGGTCCTCGTTGTCATGGGAATACGTGAAACCTGAGATGGGCTTCCTCGCCTGGGTCTTCTCGCGCGCCATCCTGTATGCCCTGGATGCATACGGAATCCTACAAGCGTCTGCCCAATGCCCTCTCTCTCGCGGCAGTTCGCACGCCCGGTCTTTCGCTTGACATGCTTGTCGCCACTGCGGCGAAGTTCAGGGCGTGACGGTCGAGCGGCTTTGCAACGATCGAAGAAGCCCCAGTCTGTGTCCTTCCCTGCCTTGGGCTGTCTGGATTCTGTTCACGTCCTCCGTCGTTACGTACCAAGTTTCTCCTCGGTAACCGCTGCAAGCACTTCTAGAACCTCATGGCCGTCGGGGACCTGAGCTTCGATGGCCGAGGGAAGCGGTGCTGCATCTTCCCCTAGAGACTCGATGTCGTCATCCTCGTCGTACCATGGGGCTGGGGGCTCAGGAGGGCGCTGGAATTCTTCGCCGACGAACGCCTTCACTCGGGGTTGAGGGGTGGTCGGCAGGATTTTCTTCCCTGTGACCTCCTCCTGTAGAAACGCCATCCGCATTGCCGTCGAAACAGTCCTGCCACCAGCCAGCGTTCTCATGTTTACTTCGTTTTGCACAGACAAATCGCCCCCCTCCTCGAGATAGCTCGCTTTGACTTTGTCTGGGAAAGGATGGCCTCGGCCAGTTCGTTGCCCCGTCACGAAACGTAGTCAGTGATAGCCTCTCGGCGTCGTATCATGTAGTCGACAAGGGCGTAGCAGTGTGAGAGGCGCTCCGTGTTCCCAGGTCTTTGACCGTTCAAGACGCAGAGATGGGACCACATCACCTCGAGTCCGCTCCACTGCTCCAGTGAGTGCCAAATGTGCTTGAACTTACCCTGCACGTCAACTGGACGGGACTCTGCTACACGGGATGCTTGAGCTTCTGGAGCGTGACCCGTCCACCTTGCCTAAGCTCCAACACTTTGGGAGTAGAGCTCCAGGTGCTCCATCCCCAGCCACGACGGCGGCGGTCCGAAGTCCCTGGACTTGGCGCTGTCGGGCCACGGGCGAGATCCCCAGTCGCCAGAGGTGGCCCAGACGTCATCGAGCCGCGCGTTTGCGCCCTGGGCGTGGGAGGCGGTTCATTGCCAGGGTGTGGTCGTCCAATCGTTCGCACCCCTGGCCACCAAGCCCCAGCTTTAGGCCCCTGAGACTTGGGAGCCGCACCAGGGGAGATAGGTCCATCCATCCGATATCGTAGGATCAAGCGCACTGTCCTGGGGCCTGGGGCATCTGGTTGGGGCCGGTTCTCATGCCATGATGATCGTGCCCGCAAATTTCGGCTCCAAGAGGCTCGGCCCCAGAAAACTTGATCTCACAAAGGCTGCTCCATGGAGGTAGTTCGTTCTTGTGATGGTTCAGTCTGGGTCTGAGCTTTCTGGGGTCGATTACTTACATTTCCTTCTTCCTCTTCTCTTGGCATGGCGGCAAACAAAAACGGGTTCGGTACTCCTCCAGAGAAGCCGGGTGCAAACGACGATCTGGAACACTGCAAGCGTGGCCCTCGAATCTGTTCTCAACCGCGCTCCGCTTACAGTACCACGGTCACCAATTCAAGGGGCTATGATCTGAGAGAAAGATCAAGAAGAAAAACAATTCTATATTTCAGCACATCGAACCACGTACGGAAACTCTTCAGGGAGTCTCGTGCCCTAAGCCACAACCTGCGAACGGAGGGAGGTCGAACACGAAGGGAGAGAAGAGGGAAAAGACCGACCACCCCTTGTAAAGTAGGTCTCGGGGACACCGGGGCATCCTCGGACTTCCTGGGATGCTCCGGATACCTCCTGGGGCCTCCTGTGTTCTCTTGGGACCTCCTGGGGGTTCCTGGTGGCTCTGCTGCCTCCCGGGGATCTTTGCGCCCCCTGGGGCCCCCTGGAGCCTTCTGCAGCTTCCTGTGGCTTCTAGAAGCCTCTTGGAACTTCCTGTTGCCTTCTGGTGCACTTCGAAGGCTTCCGCTCGAGACTTCCCGCAATTCACTTACACACGAGGCTCCCGCTCCGAGACTTCTTCAGATTCAGGCCTCAAGGGCGCAAACGTAACGACAACTGCAGGATCCGTATGCCCCGCTGCGTCCAGCCGTGGCGATGAGAAGGCACCCCCGAAGCCCATCAGATCCTCCAAAAGCCTCTACTTCCTCCTCCCTCCTGGAGGTTGGGGGGCATCGCGGATCTGCATGCTGATGCCACCAGCAACAAGCTCTTCCCATTCACCCATCGGGGCCTTCCTGGCCAGAGCGTCGGAGTGGCCAGGGACTGCAGACCGATGGTTGTGGCGGACATCGTTCTGGGCGGCCTTGGGGCCCCAAGCCCGGGCCCGCCCCCACAGGCCAGCAATAATGACAAACCAACCGACCCGATGTGTTCGAAGCGCTGGGCGTCCGAGTTCCAAACCACGGCTTAGCGGGACCCTCTGTCGACAAGACAATTTGAAGCCAACTCGGGGATTTCAGATGGAGAGCGTCCATCCTCGACAGGGGTGCGGCTGACTTGTGACTAGTCCCCTGAAGGAGCATCCCAGAGCGCTTCCCTTCATTTCTACGCTGTCAGAATGTTTAGCGGGAGCTCTGGGATCCTGGGGCGATGCGTCGCTTGCCATTCGCGCGCCAGAAATCGGGGGCGCACAAACATGGACTAGCGATCCATGGATTTGGCGCGCGGTCGCCAAATCCATGGATCGGGGAAGGTGCCCTCCCCAAAATGCGGCCGGTGCCGCCTCGTTTGGCGGCGGAAATCCGCGAGTTACCATGGAAACGGGACCCGTCGCTAATCCACGCCCCTTGATCTGTATTTGCGATCGTATGAAGTTATCGCCACCACTCCTCCCAAAGCTCCCCCCGAACAAAAACTGAGCGTCCAGGAGAAAAAGGGAACTCGAAGATGAGCACCCCTGGGGAGCTATTCGGTCGCACCCATGTCGAGGACGGGCGAGGAGGAGGAGGTGGAGGAGGAGGAGGAGGAGGAATACCCTCCCCCGCCACCCTCCCCTCTCATCCCGCCAGGGCCGAAGAAACCGCGGCGGGGGCCTCTGGAGACGGAAGCGCTCCCACTGCCAACCTCCAGGCCGAGCAACACATCCGTCTTCGTCTTGCTGACTGAGCGCATGACCTGGCATGCAGAGGAGGGCCCTGGAGGGAGGAAGGGGGTCCTGGATTGGTTTCGCTGTTTTCGTCGTCGCCGTCGTCGTCGTCGTTGTCGTCCTCGTCGTCGTCGTCCTCATGCGACAGTTGACAGCCCCCTCGGTCCTCCGCGGGCCCCGCGACAATCAAACGAATGCTCAGGATGAAGAGCTGGCCTCGAGGACAATCTTCGGGACAGTCTTGCTTCCTGGCGAACCCTCGCGCTCCGACCATGTCTCAAACGGTCACGTCGGATGATGAACGCGCGTCGATGCAATCTTGTCGGCGTCGGGCTGACATTTCGTCGCTTTCAGGGCTCTGCAGTGCCAGACCTACTACAACTGGCAAGTATGACCAAGAAAAATATGACTTGAGAAGTCTGGGCCACCATCCCAGATGTGTCTTGAATCGAGCCTGCGCCAATTTCTGTTGCTACCGCTGGATAGGCGAACGCTTCAAGAAGCTAAGCTAGCTTTCCCGCAAGTTCTTTAAGACACGCTAGCCCAGCTTTTCGGGGGGAGGTCTCTTAATCAAGTGTTCGACTGTAATCACTGACGATGCGCACAGTAAAAGGCAGCTAACCACTGCCCCCAAACATCTGCAATCAATCATCCCCCACACACACCCGCGCAGACATCGGGGAGACGTAAGATTCGGGTACCCGGGCCATCATGAAAATGAGGAGACCTGGCCTGAAATTTGACGCGAGCTCCCGCCGAAAAACATCCCACGAAGACCGGACCGTCGAAATCCAGGACGCGCCCGTCGAACAATGTCGGCAAACCCGAGCTCCGGCTTACTCGAGTCTTACGTTGCCCCGCGCAGGCGAGTGGTCGTCTCAGAGGTGGGCGCGAGGCGCGCGCGGCGGGCCGTGCAGGAAAACGGTGCGACGCGCGGGGCCACGCGCGGCGCGCCCTGAAGGCCTCATCTCGTCCTCCTCCTCCTCCTCCTCCTGCTGCATCCCCCTGCTGCCTCCTCCTCATCCTCCTGCCTCCCCTTCCCCCTCCTCCTCGTCCAGCTTCTCCTGCTGCCTGCTGCCTGCGCGCGAGGCGCGCGCGGCGCGATGTGCAGGAAGACTGCGTGCGACGCGCGGGGCCCCGCGCGGTACGCGCCCAGAAGGCCTCGCGCCCGAGTCTCTGAGGCTGAAGTCTTGCTTCCTGGGCCAAACGGGTCGTTCGCATATCTCTCTGACTGCGTCTGTTCCGCCTACGCCCTTCGCCGCGCCTGGATCGACGACGAGGCCGAGACGCTGCTTGCCGCGCGCGCTCGTCGTGGGTATCACGCTGTCATCGTCTTTCCTGGTGCCGTAGTTGACGGCAGAGAGGCACGTGTTTGCCTTCCACAGGTCTGAGAGAGATCCTTTTGATGCCTTCGCCAGCAAGTACTCGCCGAGATCCTCGCACTGGACCGCGGCGCTGGTGGTGTCGCGCGTCGGCCTTTCAGATAATCGACGTGCATCTGATCGGTCACCTGGAGGAGTAGAGCTCGGCCGACTGTTGTTGCTCGTCGAACTCGCATTCTTGACCATGTCACTGAAGTTGGTCTTTGCTGGGGCAGGCTTATCGTCTATGTCGTGCCACGTACCCTGAGGCGGTGCCGCGCTGGACTTATCTGCTGAAGATATCACACTCCATGATCCGCTCGAAGGGCTTTCCTCGGAGATGCTTTCCGACCTGTTGTTGCTGAGCCACGGCGGTGCGCGTCCTGGGCAGCCCATCTGAAACCGCGTGGAGGATGATCCTGAAGTCGAGCGACCCTTATTGCCTCTAACTCTGCCTTCTTTGCCTCGAGGAGGTTGTCGGTCGCTTTCGAACTTGTCGTCCCACGAATGAGAGTCATAATCAGTTCAGGCCGGATCGTCCCACATGCAACTCTTGTCTGGCTGCTGCTGCGCGTCGTTCGTGTGATGTCCAGCTGCGAGGGCAACTCTGTTGGCATGATCCTGACCATAATGATGTCCACCGAAGTGATGCTGAGTGTAGCCGCTCCGTGTGTTCTTGCCGTCGTCGCCTTTTTCTGACCCCGCTGTCTAGCTGGACAGTCCTAATCACGATGCCACTTGGAGCCGCAGATGCCGCAACCGTTGCTGTCGTGCTTGAACTCGTTCTTGCCACCTCCGTAGCCATTTCCGCCGTAGTTCGCCTCTGAATTGTATCGGTCGTCGTCTCCGCGTCCTGTGCCTTTGCCTTTTCCTCGGCCTCGTCCATTACCGCGGCCTCGACCTTTGCTATTGCGAAACCGTCCTTTGCCTTCGCCTTTTTTCTTGCGTCCGTTAAATCTCCACTTTGGTTTAAAGCCGCTCATCTGATATGATTCTTCGAGGTCGAGCTCGTCCAAGTAAGATTCCACTTCGTTCTGGTCGTACCAGTTCCAGTAGCTGTTGTACGCTCCGCCGTATGTCCATTCGCCTTGTTCTGCCGCAGGTCCGTGTCGTCATCGTATGAAAACGCTATGTAATCATCGTCGCCGTCCTGATCGAGATAGGAAGAAATATTGCAATCGTCGTCGTTCAACTCCTCCGCTTTAAACTCGCCATCGTGTCCGAGATGATGGTGTGATGCTGCTGCCATTTCCTGCTTCGCAATGCGACGGACCATGCTGAATATCTCATTGAACTTTGACAGGTCTCCATTGCACTGGACACTGAAGCTTGTTGTCCGCAATCCGACGTGCCGGAAGGCCGCTCCACTTGAAGAGAAGATGCGTGAGACCAGTTGAAATCAGCGCAAGACCCGCCTTGCTCTCAGCCTCCTGATACCGCTGCTTCAACCTGAAAAGATCGTATTGGAGACTTGTGGTGCCTGTGCGAATGTCCTAGAACTTGTTTAGATACTCGCCCTGCTGATCCTGGTCGTGGATCTCGAAAGCGTCCTTCAATTTGTGGATGAGATGTGCCACGCCGGCTGGATCCCCTGCCACGAGAACTGCGCCGGTGGTCACATCCAACTCTCGTCCTGCTTCGGCAGGGCGAAAGCCGCATCACCAGTGATAACATCGCCGTGTCTCGTCGGTCTAATGTTCATGGCCACATCGAACGCCTGATCCAGAAACCGGCTTGCCATCAACGGGCCAGCCTCCTCCTCGGCGATGGGCGCGATGCGCCACCACAAATGGAGGCGCTCGAGAAACTGCTTGAACGTGTAGTCAGGCAGACCCAGCTTCCAGCCAGGAGGTACAAACCTGGTGCACTCTGGCAGCTGCGTAGGGACCTTCCAGTCTGCTCCGCCTCCAGTCGCCATCGCCTCGAACTCCTGACAGTAGGGAAAAAGAGGGCGTCGCTGTCGACGCCGAATATGCTCTCGCTGGTGAGGACAAAAAGGAAGATTAAGTACGAGCTGATCTTCTTGAATATCTGCAGGGGCCGGTACTTCGGCCCTGTGTCCGTGGTCTTCGTCGAGACGAGGTGGCGCGCCTGGCGGCGCGCGCGGCGCTGCTATCGCGGTGTTTGTGCCCGATGGATGGGAGCAAGCTGGGGCTGGAGCTGAACTCCAGCTCCGCTACCAGACTGAAATGTCTAGTCTCGATTCGCGAAACCCTGAGCCCTTGAGCAAAACTGGGCGATACCGAATGTTGTCATTCGGACGCGTTGGTGCCAGCACATGTCTGCTGCTACTGCTCTAATGTCTGCTGATATTCTCAATCCCCTGCCCCTGCCCCTGCCCCTCCCCCTCCTCCACTTCCTCCTCCTGCGCCTCCTCCTCCCCCTCCTCCTCCTCCTCCTCCTCCCCCTCCTCCCCCTCCTCCTCCTCCTCCTCCTCCTCCTCTTCCCTCCCCCTCCTACATCTCCCCCATCTCCTGCTCCGTCGCTGACAAACAAAGAAGGCGGCGGCGCGGACCTCGGACGAGGAGTCGGAGTCCGAGCTCAAGTCCGAGCTGGCGCTCGACGACGATGACGACAGGAGGCCAGCAGGAGCAGACGAGCCGAACATTTGGGATTTCGGACGGGCGCCTGGCGGCTTTCTCCGCCGGCGACGCTATCCTCCGCCGGAGCCGTCGGCGGTTTTCTCCCTCAGCGCCCCCCCCCCCGCCCAAGGAGCAGCACCTTTGGCGCCGTCCCCAGGGCGTGCTCCGCGCGCCAGGGACGGGGAACTTGACCCGTCCCAGGACAGCACCAAACATAGCACCATGGCCTGTGGGCCTGAGTGCAAGTCGAGGCTGTGACCAGCCCAGATACGATACGAAGTGCGGAGGGCTACAGTCAACCCGTATCACAAGGATGCGATAAGGATGCAAGGGCCTTGGACGTCCATGTCGAAGTTTTTCGAGCGGGGCGCGGCCAACGAAGGTGGCTGAGGATGGGACGAGGGGGCAAGGATGCAAAGGGTACCCTAGGGAAAAGTGCCCATCCTTACTATGCGGATTGACTGTACTCTGGAAGGTAAGCGCCGGAGGAGAAATCGCCCGCGGGCGCCCCGAAATCCGCGCTCGTGTGCTCTGTTTTGAGGGATGAGAAAACGCCCCTACCCTGGGTTACAGGTGCGTGGTCAGTAAACCTCCTGCGAGCTCCCCAAAGGCCAGAGAGCCGCCAATAAGCCGCTCGACACGCGCGATACGCAGGGCTTATCCCGTCAGCCCACAGGAGGTTCGGCGTATAGCGCCTCGTAAACCAGGGTAGGGGCGTTTTTGAGTCCTTGACTTCTGGCCTGCCGGAGGAGGGCGCCCCGAAATCCACGCTCCTCCCCCTCCTCCTCCTCCTCCGCCTCCTCCTCCTCCTCCTCCTTCGCCTCCTCCTCCTCTTTCTCCTTCTCTTTCTCCTCCTCCTCCTCCTCGTGTGCTCTTCTGGCCTCCTGGAGGAGGGCCTGCCCGAGCGGCGGCTCAAGATCGAGCACTGCCTGTCCAGGGGCCTCTGCCCGAGGCCGCGGGCGCCGAGCGCCGCCAAGGATCTGCCGGTGCCCGTGCGCGAGGAGGACGCGCCCGGCGCCTCTGTGAGCCTGGGGGCGCCACGGAGCACTTTTTCCGTCGGCGGCGAGGCAGACCCAGACATGATCGCGTCGTAAACAAAAACCGATGAAGGGGCCCTGGGACACACAAACAAATACACACAAATAAAAATCCGCCGGCCCCCTTGTGGGCCACCAGGCTGTAGGCGCGAGGTTCGCAGTTTCCTGTGCCAGTTGTAGCTTGTAGTTTCCAGTGTTGCAGTTGTGCTTCTTGCTGGTTACTGTAACTAGTTGATTGACCGCGCGAGGGGGGGGAGGCCCAAACCATATTTTTTAGCACCCCCTGGGCGCGTTGTCTGAATTGCTGGGGGGGCTCGAAATCGACACCCCTCACGCAGATCCGCGGGGTCAGGGTCCAAAAACACAGGGGATTTGCCACATTTCTGAAATTCGGTGCCACCCCTCACGCAGATCCGCGGGGTCAGGGTCCAAAAACACAGGGGATTTGCCACATTTCTGAAATTCGGTGCCACCCCTCACGCAGATCCGCGGGATCAGGGTCCAAAAACACGGGGGATTTGCCACATTTCTGAAATTCGGTGCCACCCCTCACGCACATCCATCGCAAGGCGTGGTAACCCAAACTGCGAGAACTCCCTCGGCCCTTTAATCGCAAGGTGTGGTAACCAAGCCCGTAAACCATACACGTCTTACCAATCGCCAGGTGTGGTAACCCCTCTTGTGATCAGTTTTGCTGATTGCGAATCGGCTTCGCATGAAGTTTCGATACTGCTTCACGACAGCGCCAAGGCCTCATGACTTAGCTCTTCCATGGCCCATTCTCCGAGAGAGGGGGCCGGCGGCAGGGGGCGAAGCCCTTACGGATATTCCCCATATTTTCCAATATTTTCTGGGTTTTTGCCTCCCTCCCCGATTTCCATATTTTCCAATATCTTCTTGGGAATCGACGATTAATTGTGTCTGTGTGTGTTTTTTTCCCCTCCTGAATCAAGTCGGGAGGTTTTCACTAGTTCTCGGCCTCGGGGAGCCCTCGCCGGGTCCCGGGAAGGTAAAACAAAAACAATTCAGGATGAAAAACCGGCCTCGGGGAAAGGGTCTGGACTTCCGGGGACGCCGTCCTGAAAAAATCAGGACGTCGCATGTCTGGGGAGGCAGTTCGCTCCGGCGTGCGGCTCGGGGCAACCGAAAGGCGCATTGTCCGGCGTGCAGGAGTGCCACGGACCACAGGCCTGCCCCGCGGCTGCCTCGCAGCCCTCGGCCGTGAGGGACCTTGCCGCACATCGGGTCGGACGAAGACGGGGTCGGCAAACGGAGGGTTGGCGAGACGGCGAAACAGCTCGCGTGGCTGGCTTCCTCGGCGCCCCCCCGGCGCCGGAGGCGCCAATGCATTGAGAAAGCCGCTCGGCTGCGGAGGCGAAAGCAGCTGCATGCAGCAGCTATCGCATCCCCCCTTTCGCTATCCCCCCTGCTTCGCATGACCCGACCACAGCGCCGCCCTTGGCAGCAATCACGTGGCACGGTTCCCCAACAAACGACAGAGACGGCGGTGGGCCACGGGGATCGTGCACACGAGAGTGTCGACATGCCCTAAAACGAGCCGCCCGCGGATGACTGCGCCAGGTGCTTGCAGCCACGGAGAACCATTCTGGAAAAAGGGGGAGGGGAAGGGGCAGGGGGAGGAGGAGGAGGAGGAGGAGGAGGAGGAGGAGGAGGAGGAGGAGGAGAGGAGGAGGAGGAGGGGGAAGGGGGAGGGGAAGGGGAGGGGATGATGATGATGATGATGATGATGATGAGATGATGATGATGATGATGATGATGATGATGATGATGAGGATGAGGAGGAGGAGGAGGAGGAGGAGGAGGAGGAGGAGGAGGAGGAGGAGGAGGAGCGAAGCGTAGGAGGGGAGAGTTCGTCCACCTACCCTCTGGCCTCGCCTCCACTCCGCGGGAGGAGGAGGAGAAGGAGGAGGAAGAGGAGGAGGAGGCGGAGGAGGAGGAGGAGGAAGCGCCCAATCCGTCGACTTTGTCGGCATGTGTGAAACGCTTTCCTGTCTGAGTCGTCGTCGTCGTCGTCGTCGTCGTCGTCGTCGTCGCCACTCCCCCCCTTTCCCTGGGCCCTCCTCCTCAAGTGCGCCAGCCAGAGGGAAACCGAGCATAATCGCATTCGAGTCGAAGAGAAGCCCCTTTCCTTTGATCTCTTCCCCGCGGGGGGTGTCCCGAGCTCAAGCCGCGGGGGGTGGGCCCGGGAGGCAGTCCCGGGGGTAGCCCAAGAAAGTTTCAACATCGCCCAAGATACCCCAGAATGTTTCAAGCTATTTTCCAGCATGCCTCCAATATGCCTCAGGTCAGCTACAAGGCGGCTCCTAGCGGCCACGCAGCCTCCCAAGGAGTCACCCAGAAGGCGACAATCATCAAATGCCCTTGTGTCGTCTTCTGCTTTTGGCCTTATCACCTTTTCGTTTTCGATGGGCTCTTGAGGCCTCATGGCCCCAGAGGCGCCCATGAGGGCCCCACGACGGCCCCAAGAGCGCCTGAGTGCGCCTCAAAAGCGCGCCAAGAAGGCTCAAAGAAGCTCATGTTCGCGCCCCAACGGGTGAACGCACATAGGGAACCCTCCTTCTGTGGTCGACGGCCTCCAAGATGGCTGCAGACGACCTCTCAGGACACCCAGGAGGGCCCCAAGAGAGCTCCCAGGAGAGCCCCAAGAGAGGCCCAAGAGGGCCCGAGAGGACCCCCGAGCGGCCCCGGGAGGGCCCCACGATGGCCCCCAGAAGCCTGCCCTTCACGCTCTCTCTCCCCTTCCCCGCTTCCCCGCTTCCCCTCTCCCCCTCTCCCCCTTCCACCCTCCTTCTCCTCCTCCTCCTCCTCCTCCTCCTCCTCTTCTTCCTCCTCCTCCTCCTGCTCAACATCCCAATGTCAATATCTCTTGCCTCCCGTTGCGCACAGGATTGGAGGCACAGGCCGTCAGGCCTTCGCGACATGGAACGCGCAAGCCTCGCCGCTTCTGAACCAACACCAGTGACGGAGACACACCGTGGTACCCGATTGCAGAAATACGCCCACCGTCATATGTAACACGAAGTACCTTCAAACTCGGCTGATCGGCATCATGTACATTCACTCGCACATGCCACACGCATACACGCACAAACACACACGCACACGTGCATGAAGGCCATGCTCAAACAATACTTGGAGGGCGACGCTCGAGATACGCTGGCCCAACTTATGCTTAGTAGGTGGCGGGACGGTCTACGGACAGCCCTGTCTTCTGCACAGACTGAGGAAATAACATTTGCACCTTGCGCGCGACGCGAAACATGTCAAGCACAGAACATCCTCTCACTCCGCTGCCGAGCCTGGAAACCGAAGGTGTCGCGACCTCCTCCTCCTCCTCCTCCGTTTCCCTGCGCCGCGCGGCTGTGCCTGAAAAGCCAGGGCCCCCGAGAGGGTGGACGAGGGCGGGCAGAATGGGTGCCAATCAGGAGCGCATTTCCCCGCTGGCGCGAGCACAATGGAAGGCATAACCACAAACGTTCAGATCTCCGCGCGGCTGTCTTCGGTCGGCGCCGGACCCCTCCCCACGCGCTCCATGACGCGCGGAGCGCGACGGGGGTTGGCGCCAGAGCCACCAGAGGTGGCGGGGATCAGGGCTCAGCGCCGACCGAAGAACTCCTCGCTGACTTCACTAACACTTCGTTTATGCTGATGGGTGTTCTCGGATTTACTTAACCGGAGGGCAACCTTCGGGGCAGGCCACCAGCAACCGAGAGCTTGATGATGTTCGAGACGACCTGGACCGCCATGTGCTCCTGCAGGGAGGACCCACCGCAACAATGCGAGGACAAATGCCACACATGTGCCGGACGATTGCGACAGACTGGTCCCATGTCCGGGCGGGCTCTGGTTTCCGTCTGCAAGGGAAGCCCGCAAGATCCTCGGCCTGGAGCGTCTGCACGCTGCACCCGCGCCGGCGTGGCGGGTTGGCGGTATAGCATGGATTCTGGATGATGCGACAGCCCACATTCTCAAGAGATAGCAGGCGTTCGTGCGATCATCAGATCACTCGCAATTCACAGCGGGGAGGAAAAGCAACGCCTCGTCGAGACTACCGTGCGCTGTGAAACTCCCCATTCATGAGACGTCGTGTTTCCAATGGGTCTGACAACGTGGACCCCGGAGGTATGGACCCCTTCCCCTGGACAGGTATTTCATTCAGAGTTTTTTGTTGACGGTCCGTGGGCCTAGTGAAGTACCCCAGATGCCGAAAATGAGCAAAACCAAACAGTCACGCTCACCATACAATGGCAAGTCAAAGGCGACGCCGACGGCCACAAACCATGGCGCACCTGCGCCCTCGGGCGACCTCGTGGCGACCGACCTGGCACTGTAGAGGAACAAAAAGCATAAACATCATTTCTCGGAGATCCGCGCGGATTTCTTGGATCTGCTCTGGACCCCCTCCCCGGCGGGCGGAGCCGGAGGCGCTGCCGGGGGGGGGGCCCAGCGCCGATCCAAGAAATCCGCGCACACCTCCAACAATTTATGTAGATGCACTTTTTTGTTACTTGACTCTCGGCGACCGATCTGGCGCTGGCAGCCGCCCTGGGCATGGATAATTACTGCCACCCAAGACCCCTAATGCACCATTTTCTGTATGACGTTGACCTCCCGAGGCTCGTCTCGACCCCATCCCCGGGACCGGTTCTTCATCACGAGTCGTTGTGTTGACGGCCCCGAGGGCTGGCTGGGGCCCCTGGCGGAAAACCTCCCGCCAGGGCCATGATCCTCTCGTAACTCGCGGACCTCCGCCCTGGTCCGCACCGGCGGCCTCTCTGAGCCTGCCTGGCTTCACCGCCGGCCCTGGGTGCCCTCAGGCTGTTCCCGGCCCTGCCCCGCCGGTGCAGACGCCGCCACCTGCGCCCCGGGCGTCCCCGCACTCCTGGCGGCTGCTGAGGCGCTCGCAGCTTCCATCGGTTCTCTGAAGGGCCCTCGCGGCTTCTCGCCACGCCGTTTTCGTGCTGCTTCTCGGAGCCCCACAGGGTTGCGGCGCTCTCGAGCAGCCCTCGCGGTCTTTCGCCACCCGTCGCCACGCGCCGCACGGCACCCCGCTGCTGCCCGGAGCCCCACAGGGATGCGGCGCTCTCGAGCAGCCCTCGCGGCTGTTCGCCACCCGCCGCCACCCGCCGCCACCCGCCGGCATGGCATTCCACGCCGTGATGTGGCTTCTCGGGCGCCGCTGCGACTTGTCGCCGCCAGTGCACTGCCTGGCCGCCTCGCGGAACCCTGCGGTGATCTTGCCTCATGGAGCAGGGATAGAACAAGTAACTAACATAAACTTGTGGCGCGCGGGGAAGATTTCTTGGATCTGCGCTGGGCCCCCCTCCGCGACGCGCGGAGCGCGCCAGGGGCGGCGCCCGAAGCGCCGCCAGGGGGGCCCAGCGCGGATCCAGGAAATCCGCGCGGAGCGCCAAAAATTCATGTTCATTGCGATTTCTTCTTCGACACCGCGAGGCCTTCCACCGCTCGCGGCGCGCCGGGTCTTGCCTGCAGGCGCCAGGCACTCGGCATCGTCTCTCTGCGCCCTTCCTTCTGCAGGCGGCGGAGGCGGTCAATTCGCAGGCGCTCGCGACGCTGCCCAGCTGGATGAGCACGTGCGCCGCGAAGGCCCAGCAGGAGCACCGCGGCGAGGAGGGTGTTCAGCGGCGCCGCCCCTCCTCCCGCCCAGCCTCCCGCCCCGCCCTTTCCCTCCGCTCGCGCCGTGGTTGGCGCGCTCCTGGAGGTCGGGCGCTCCCGGCGAGGCTGCCGCTTCCAACGTGCGCTCCGTGCTGCGGCTCGCCCGGACGGCCTGCAGGCCCCCCCAGGGCGACCTCGCAACGGGTGCTGCCACCTGCTCGCCGCCACCGCCGCCATGGACCCCGGGCCTGGCCTGTCCCTGGGACCCCATCTAAGAGGCCGAGATTTTGGACCTTTGAAGGCCTCCCAGCTCGGGGATAGCCGGGCATTCGAGCGTCTCCCCTGGACTCCTGGAGCTCTGGCACTCGACCGTCTCCCCTGGACTCCTGCAGGTCACTCTCGTGCCTTTTGCGCCCCTCGGCCGTGCCTTCCGCGCCTCTGCGGTCGTCCTCGAGACGGCTCGGGCGACCACTCCGCCCTGCACCCCTGGAAGGTTATGCTGCCCTCTCGCTTGCAGCTCCATGGCTCTCTGGGACTGCCTGCCTCTGTGCAACGAGGCCGACGCGCTGCCGGCGAAGAGCTTCCAGCTCGGAATCGGGCCGGCCACCCCCTTGTTTCCCCCCGCTTCGCCCTCTTCGCTGAATCTACGTGTGCTTCCGCGTCCTGGTGGGCGCCCGAGCGCCGCGTGATCGCCCCGCGGCCGCTGACCCCGCCAACAAATGCTCGACGCGAGGGGGTCCAGGTCAGGGCCTCGAACATCCACTCCTTGACATATCCTGGGGTGCGCTCTGGTCAGAACTCCGTGGCGTATCCAGACGTGGCGACGAGAAGCTTCTGGATATCCAACAAGGACGAAACCATCCCCAAACTCTGAACCTCGACTGTTGAGGGCCTCCCTCTGCGAAGAGGTCTGGTGGTCTGGGCCCCCCTGGGAGGTGTACGATGTATACTGGTCGTCCAAGGAGCTCGGAGTACAGACGCAAAAACGCCCCGGCTGCGCAACCTGTGGGATGCCAGAGCGTCTGTGCACTGTAAACTGACTTCCTTCGCAGAGCTCCTCGGTTGTCTGGCCGACAACACGACGCGGCGCTTACAAAGAAGAGAAAGACACGCATGAGCGTAAGCTGCCAGAGCTCCGCGCGGATCCCTTGCATCGTCTCTGGCCTCCCTGCCTGGCGCGCGGAGCGTGCCGGGGGCGGCACCGAGGCGCCGCTAGGGGGGCCCAGCTCCGATCCACGTAAGCCACGCGGCCCTCCGAAAATTATGTTTCTGCGTTGTGTACATCGCGCTCCTCTGACATGCTCCGGGCCTGACAAAGAACACGTTCTTGGGCAGCCGCCCGATGCCGGCTACGTCCTGGGGTGAGCTGTGGGTACAATTTGGAGGCGGATCCAGCCGGGGCGACGAGGCGGCCCCTGGGTTTTGAGAGAGGACGATCAACGACCCCAGAAACTCCAAACTTCGACTCTGAAAGGCCTCCCTCTGCTAGGAGGTCTGGTGATCCACGCCGTTTGATCGACCGAGGAGCTCGGTGTACAGACACCCCAGCTGTCCAACCTGAGGGACGCTGTCTACACACCGAACGCCTTTGCCGACCTGCTCCGCTCCATGGCCGACCAGACGGTGTGGTGTACACACTGGTATCTGGCGTTGGGATCCGGCGTTGCGACCAGAAATTGCAACATCGCGAACAATCACGACTGGTGCCCGAGAACCAATCTTTCTGCACCATTTTTCGAGACGGGTCGATCTGTGGTCCTGGAGTCCGAAACACAGCAAACCGCCTGTTGTGAAACCAAGGCGACGGCAAGGTCTCGGGGCACAACCGAAAATATGATCGAGATGACCATCAGGCAAGACATCCGGGCCAGATTCCCCGGATTTGTTTTGAACCTGGGCCAACTTCTGAAGTTCACACTGGAGGGGCGAACATGCTCAAGAAATTTGGCCAGCCGTCCAGCAGGTTGGTCGAGAAACGCTGCCCAGGTTTTCGGGAGGCGATGTCTCAATCAGATGCTCGCCTGCACATCGAGCCCCTGTGGCCCCCGCCAATTGACGGCGCGCACGAGGGAGTAGGGGGAGGCGGGGAAGCTTCTTAGAAAGAGGCTGCTTGCTCCTTGGGCGCCGGCCCCACGTCTACAGACAAGGCACGCGCCTTTTTTGGAAGCAAAGGTGCTACTAAAGAGCCCCCCCCCTCCCCCACACCCGCCCTCTGCTTGGGGAGGCGTGCGCCTCGGATTCGGGTGAATCGGGTTGGCCTGACAGGGCCATCCTGAAAATGACGCGACCCGACGTGAAATTTGACGCATGCTCCCACCGCAAAGATCCCACGAAAATGGGACAGTCAACATCCAGGACGCGTTCGTCAACAAGCGTAGGCAAAACCGAGTTCTGGCGTTGCCCGATCTGCGCGAGACCGCCCAAGGCTCCGCGGTGAATTCGTCATTTCTTCCCCCCGCCCCCTTTCCCCAAGGTGGCCGCGGCGCGGTGCCAGGGAGGAGGAGGAGGAGGAAGCGGAGGAGGGAGGAGCTCACTGGCCGAATGGGGGGAGGCGAGGGCGGGCCAAGCAGCAAAAGCAGACGGCGAGAGGAGAGTCCCAGGCTCCATGGGCGAAGAGGAGGAGGCGGAGGAGGAGGAGGAGGAGGAGGAGGAGGAGGAGCGAGCGACAGGGGGGGAGCGCGGGTCCTTAACCGCGCCGCTGCCGCCCGCCACCGCTTTAGCCCGAGGCGGGCCAGGTGCGGGGCCACTCAGGGCCTCGTCGTCGGCGTCCAGGACGCCCTCGTCGGGGTGTCAAAGATGTCCATGCTAATGGTGTCCATGACGGCCCTCACGGAGGACATGCCCATGAGGTTTCGGCAGCAGCGCGTCGTGACAATCGGCGATCTCGCAAAAGTCGCGCTGAAGGGTAGCCGCGCGGAACACGAAACCGACCGCCGAGAGTGGCAGGCCAGCGTTCTCCCTTTTCCCAGGAGTGCTCCGCGCCCAACCTGTCACGGATGATGCAGGAACAGGAAGAGGTCAGGGAGGCTTGAGATGGCCCACAGCACGAGCGCATATCGACACCTCGGACCTCGCTGGAGCGTTGCGGCTTGAGCTTGTACTTCTTTGAATAGGCGTGCTTCCGCCTGACGAGCGGCGTCAACGAGGAGTCCAAGCGGCGTATAAGCATCAGGCTGATCATAGCGCGGGCAATGCAGGTGGCCCGCGTCGGCTGGACCGAAGTACGTGGGCAAATCGTAGGCCTCGACGTGTGCGTAACCGGAGCCGGCCGAACAGCACAAGGAGCAGCAGAGGCGACCACCAGAACAGATGGAAGTTCAGGCGTCGTCTGCAAGGCCTCAGAGGAGGGCCCGCGACCAGCGATGCGAGGGCGTGGCGGTAAAGATCCCGACGAACGAGTCCAAGCGCTCGGCGACGCAGCACGACGCCGAGAGGACCGAACGCGCCGATGACCAACCAGCTTCTCGAATGAGGCGGGCGGAGCAGGAGGAACTTCGAGTCTATCTCGTGGCGCTTGCAGTTCATCGCCGTCAGCACATGCACCGCGTGGTTCGGCACCGCGGGGTTCGCAGCCTGGGCCAGGCTCACCCCCTGTCAATATCACGAGCTGTATCGTCTCGTTGTTGTTCCTGGCTAGACCCATCACGAACACTCTCTCCCCCGCACAGGTCTTCTTGCCAAACGGGCAGCTCATGGATGACGGCCGCAGGATGGAGTAGCCGACCAGCGGGCGGCAGGTGCGCAGCAACAACTTGGGAGCTGCATTGCTGCTCGGGGGGTTTTACACGAGCGCCGTGCAGATCCGCCCTCGAAACGCGACGGGCCCTGCCCGAACCAACGAGGCGCAGGGAGAGGGCCATCAGGATGAGGAACAGCGTGCTGAGTGGGAACAGCGTCGCCAAGGCCACCACGCGCAAGAGAATCGGCCCCGCTAGGCGGCGGACGATCACCAGGCCCGTGACGTGCAGCACGCTCCTTAACAGAAAAAACAGATTTCGAAGTCGAGGTCGCAGAGAAAATCGCTAGTCATGTTCCAGGCCATGGGCTCCGCCCACCAAGGCTCCTGTGCCATAGGCCATAGGAGCGTCACCCACAAGACGGCATGAGAAAGGCGTCACCATGACGTGGAGGTTCTCATTCAGCGTGTGCAGGAGCTGGGCCAAGTACGGGATGAGGAGGTCGAGCGAGTTCGGCGCATCTGTTTGCACAGCAGCCTCGGTAGAGTGCGACGCCAAGTCGGCGAAAGGCGCACCAGCAGAAGCAGGCGCCGCACAGGCGGCGGCCAAGGAACCTGCTGACGGGAGGCTCTCTTCCAGGGGCGACGTGGAGTCGGCGGGAAAGTCGTCGTCACTGTCCTCTCTGTCATCCCACGGAGTGCGCACTGCCGGCAGGACCAGCTAACGAGCAGACGAGTTGTGCTTCGCTGAGTTGGCCAACTTCCGAACACGCCAATCGGCACGCACCTGCTCCGCGTCGATGAGACCAGCGTTGCATGCGGAGACGGGCGCATCCCGCGCCGAGTGCGTCGTGACCCTGCACAAAGCCTCCCTCTGGCAATGGAGGACCTTGCCTGCAATCATTCTCTTCGCGTCCGTCTTGAAGGCTTTGTCGACCTGCACGAAAGCGGAGCCCACGACCACGTTCGGCTTGTATTTCCACGGTCGACAGCACGCTCACGACGCGGAGCTGCGGCGAGAGGAGTCCGCTGCCGCCAGCCAGAGCCAGGGCCGACAGCAGAGGACGGGTCGGCAGCGCCGCTCATGACCAAGCCAGCAAGAGAGCGCCCAGGACGACGATGCGCCGAAGACGGCGAGCGAAGCCATGTCACTCAAGAGTGCCTGCGGACCGAAGCGGAGCTGGAGGGCGGACGCGAGTGAGGCTTGAGCCAAAATGGCCACGGAGGGAGGACGAGAGGAGGACGACGAGGAGGATGAGGAGGAGGAGGAGGAAGAGGAGGAGGAGGAGGGGGAGGAGGAGGAGGGGGAGGAGGAGGAGGAGGGGGAGGAGGAGGAGGAGGAGGAGGAGGAGGAGGAGGAGGAGGAGGAGGAGGAGGAGGAGGAGGGGTAGGAGGAGAAGGAGGCGGGCCTCCTCTTTCCCCAAGGCTCCGCGGGGAACACGTTCTTAGGCAGCCGCCCGATGCCCGGCACGTCCCCCACGCAGTTGCCTGCGGCGAACACGCGTCCGCCGAGCGCCACGGAGGAGCCAGCGCCCTCGAGCTCCCGCACGACCTGCAAGGCCTCGTTGACCTCGGCCGCCGCGCCCTCCCACTCCTCCTGCTCTCTTCCTGCTGCTCCTCCTCCTCCTCCTCGTCCTCCTCCTCGTCTTGCTCGTCTTTCTCGTCTTTCTCGTCTTTCTCGTCTTCCACGTCTTCCGCGTCTCCTCATCTTCCCTCGGCTTCCTTTCCTTTCCTTTCCTTTCCTTTCCTTTCCTTTCCTTTCCTTTCCTTTCCTTTCCTCCTCCTCCTCCTCCTCATCCGCCTCCTCCTCCCCCTCCTCCTTCCCCCTCCTCCCCTCCCCCTCCTCGCCCTCCTCCCCCCCCCTCCTCCTCCTCCTCCTCCTCCTCCTCCTCCTCCTCCTCCTCCTCCACCTCCTCCTCCTCCTCCTCCTCCTCCCTCCTCCTCCTCCTCCGCCTCCTCCTCCTCCCCCTCCTTCTCCTCCTCCTCCTCCGCCTCCTCCTCCTCCTCTCTCCTCCTCCCCTCCTCCTCCTCATCCTCCTCCTCGTCTCCTCGTCTCCGTCTTCCTCCCCCCCCTCCCCCCCCTCCTCCTCCTCCTCCTCCTCCTCCTCCTCCTCCACCTCCTCCTCCTCCACCTCCTCCCCTCCTCCTCCTCCTCCTCCTCCTCCTCCTCCGCCTCCTCCTCCTCCCCCTCCGCCTCCTCCTCCTCCTCCGCCTCCTCCTCCTCCTCCGCCTCCTCCTCCTCCTCCTCCTCCTTCTCCTCCTCGTCTCCTCGTCTCCTCGTCTTCCTCCTCGCTTGCGCGCGCGCGCGCTCGAGCGGGCCAGGGCCCGCCTCCCTGGCCCCGGGCGGTATCGCCGTCTGCGGCGGGCCGCCGGCGCTGCGGGGGCATGGGGTTGTGGGAGGCGGAGTGTCGGCCTCGGTCCTCCCATATGGCGAGGGCTCCACTTTGGAAACGGTCCCCCCCTCCATCCCTGCAGCTGCTACCTCGCCATCGTCCGGACGTCCATTCCTGGCGCACTTTTCGGTCTCGTGCGTGTAGTTTGATTAAGAGAACCCAGAAGTGTCATCGATGGTTCTTGCCGAGAAGCTCCTCGATGGTTCTTGTCCGGAATAAACACACATGTCCGAGCGATGCCAAGCTACAGGTTTCAAGCTTCAGGGGCATAAGTGGTGAGGACGCCAGGCCCGCCCTAGATGAAAGCGTCTGGGGGTGCGGCAGGGAGGCGATAACGACAAGGGAACAGGCGATAACGACAAGGGATGCGATGGGGAGGAGGAGCAGGAGCAGGAAGATGAAAAGGACCTCCAGAGCTCCAGAGGCTTCTGGAGAGACACCATCAAGAATAGGAAGAATTCGCCGGCCCAACGGGCCAGGGCGTGCTAAGATCTCCGGTACCTGGTTAACAGTATTTCTAATTCGCGCGCGCGGGGCGGCCCCTGGGGGTCCCCGGACGAAAAGTACCCCGGCAAGGTCCCGGCAAGTCCCTGGCAAGGTCGGGCCAGAGATGCCGGAGTTCTGTTACAGGGCCCCAGGACGGGCCAAGAGGTCCCCAAGAAGCCTCCAAGACGGTCCAAGAGGGCCCCGAGACGGCCAAAGATCGCCCGAAGACGCCCAACAGGGCCCCAAGACAGCCCAAGAGGCCTCCAAGACGCCCCAAGGGCCTTCCAAGAGGCCTCCGAAGAGGGCCCCAAGAGGCCAAAATCGTTGATTTTCATTGTTTTTTTCGATGTTTTTTACGTTCTGGCTTTTTCGGCTTCCGGACGCTCCAAGACGGCCCAAGAGGCCCCCAAGACCGCTCCAAGACGGCCCACGAGGCTCCCAAGACGGCCCCGGAACGGCCCAGGAGGGCCCCCAAGACGGCCCAAGTGCCGCCCAAGACGGACCAAGAGGCCCCAAGACGGGCCCAAGAGGGGCTCAAGAGGGGAACCGAGAACTGAAAAATCGAGCCCTCCGCCCCAGAAGGCGCCCAGGAGGCCCCAAAAAGGCCCCAAGAGGCCCCCAAGAGGCCCCCAAGACGCCCCAAGAGGCGCCCAAGAGGCCCAAAAGAGGCCCCAAGAGGCCCCAAAACGGCCCCCAAGAGGCCCCAAAACTCGGCTAGCCCACAACGGTGCGACAATATGGGCCGGCGGAATGAGCGAAGCGGTTAATAATCTCCAAACTCCTCCTACGTCATCCTTATCAGCATCATCTTCATCCTCAGTCCGCAGCATCCTCATCCTCACCCTCATCATTATCCTCTTCGTCGTCATCATTCTCATCCCCCAAGGACCCGAGTGTTAATGAAAGGGGCCCCGAATGGTTTGGACATCGCTTGCATGGTGACTCCACTGGAGACTCCCATGGATCATTTTTTTCGTCGGGGGTGGTTCTTGGACTGTCCTGGGGCTCTGAAAAAGGCCCCTGGAGGCAGAACCCTTAGCTGAAAAGCTCGGGCTCGAAACTTTCGAGTCGCCAGATGACGAGGAAGAGGATGATGGGGTAGAGAGGGAGGACGACGACGGAGAGAACGACGAGGACGACGACGGTGACGACGGTCGGCAAAGTCGACGACGACGATAAACGATTCGACCGCGCCTGACTTCACATTACCTCCTCGTTCATCTAGGTTTTTCCCACCCTCTCCCTCCCAACTCATACCTTCCTTCTCCCCCTGCCCCTCATCCTTCTCCCTTTCTCCTCCTTCTCCTCCTCCTCGATGTCCCGCCCCTGCTCGAATTGCCGTCATATTGACGAAAGCACTACTCTTGTGTTGTTGCTATTCCTCCTCCTCCTCCTCCTGCTTCTCCTCCTGCTGCTCGCCAGACATGGCTTAGCCATGGTAAGTCCCCGTCTCTGCCTCTATCCCTTCCGCTGTGGGCTTTTCTTGTGCCCTGAAGGTTGGCTTGTGGAACGGTTGCAGGCTGCTCCATGGCCCCACCTTTCATCACAGCGTTCCTGGTTAGATGGATAGGACAGGCTTCTGCAAGTTCATCGTCTCGACCTCGATGTGTACATCGACGGCCAGGGTTACCATGTACTGGCAAGGTCTCTGTTATGGTGTCGACGGTCGTCGAAGGGTCGTTAGCGTTGCACGACATTGTCAGCGAGAATGTCGGTTGCTCGTTCGCTCTCGGCAAGACTGCGACTGTGGACAATTCGAAAGCTGTTGGTCATGAGGTGTCTGAGGCCCTCCTCCATCTCCAAGGCACATTCGCGGAACCTGCTGTTTATCTTGGCGTTGACTTCGCCGCTGAACGTTCAGTCCGTGTCGCTGGCAGGAGTGCCAAGTTAAAGAGCAAGGGCGGTCAGCCGATAAATGAAACAAGGTGAGGTTCCCAAGCGCTCCACTATTCTTAAGGTGTGTTTTGTGGCCTCCTTAGCCGAGGCCGCACTCAGAGATTACTGAAACCAGCGATGAGGATGTGCTGCTCCTTCGGAGCAAAATTTCGGTGGTCAGACCTGTCAACAAACTTAGCTCTCTTACCACGGCCACTATCCTGGACAACCACCCGTATTGGAGGACCGCTGTGGCCCCCATTATGCGCTGGAGCACTGAAATATGCATCAACCAGGCCAGCTCTTTCCTTGGGCTCTCAGTGCCAGGGTGCCTGGCGTTCGGTTTTTGCCACACCTGCCTGTTCCTGGAGGGCTGTTGGAAGCCCTGTTTCGACCACGCGTATGTCCCTCGTTCGCCTCGGAGGAGCAATGGGGGATCTCATGACCCTCAGGGATGACGGTGGGATGCTCGTTCCACTTGGCCATTTCACTTCTGCCCTGTCTCACTCGCTCAGCAGAATGCTCGAAAGGGAGTCGGGAGAGAAGGAAGACATTCTGCCCATGAGTTGTATCACTTTGTCGAAGAAGCGTTAACAAGTAAAGAGTTCAGCTCGCTCGAGAAAGCCAGGACAAAGTCTTTCGCTACCGGTGCATGTTTGTCTGGGCCCCATTTTTAATTGGGCCCCGTGCCAGAGAGGTCGGGTACACCGTCTCCACTCTTTGCCCTTTCGGACGTGGCTGAGAGGACATGGTGTTCCACAGGGTTTGTGGTGCCAGCACGAACCTGTTCGAGAGGCGAGGAGCGTTCGAGTCAAGAAGGATATGATCGACTCTGCGCTGTCAGCAAAGGCCGAGGAGTCCGAAGACGCTATCCTTTGTCTTCCTGGAGCCTTTCGGCACCCCGCCGACAGTTACCCCTGTTATCTAACGAAAGCTGACGAGGGTCCCTTCCTTGTGTGGCACAACGAATCGTTGGAAATTCCTTGTGGAGGGAAGGTTGGTACTGCCCTGTGGGGAGATATGTTTATCGATGGTTCCTGCTCTAGACACGCTGTCAAGGAATTGTCTAGGGCTGCCAACTGTCTTCGTATGACTGGTGCCAGGGTGAATCGGTGGCGGAGTTTAGGGCCCCCGTTTGGGGCCCTCACGCCCAGACCCCCCAATAGGTCTAGTTCGGCTCTTCCACTTGAGCCACTGTCTTCTTTGTGGCGCCCGAGCAGTCCACCGCCTATTCTGGTTGCTATGATGTTGTTAAGCTGGCTGCGAGCTCTAAGCAAACGCAGTGTGCGCCCAGGAGAACTTTTGAATGTGCCCGTTTTCAATCGTATGCCCAAATTTCCTCTGTCTGTTCTTGTGTGAAGGTCGCCGCCTATCGAAACATCGACGAAGCTGGGATCGATCCGCACGAACAAAGGCTCCGTCAATGCAACCACTGGGCCGATCAGGGCGCCCAACACGCAATGGACTTACAACGTAAGGACATCACCGTGCGGCGAACAGCCCATGCCAACGCTGCGCGTGCGAAATGCCTGGAAATGGGCAGCAACACCAACACAGGTGGTCGCCTCCGCAGGGAGAAAATGATCCTATATTTCGGTGTTGGTGGTGATATTCCGGTCACCTTGGAAGCCAGAATATTACCACCATCACCGAGATCGGGATCCTCTTCCCTCGGTGGAGGCACACGGCCGATATTGGTGTTGGTGTCAACCTCTAGGCCTGCGACATGAGGAACACAGGCGGGAGTGGTGGTCTAGGGTCTGGAGGTGCGCCGTATGTTCTCGAGGGGAGCCTTCGGGGTCCAAGCCACCTCCGGGCCTCTGCCCCATATACTCCAGACTGCACGCGTCTCGTCAAGACTCGGAGCAAGGCGAACTGAGACAATGACACCTCAAAGCCGGTCCCCGCACCCCTCCCGGGGTCCGAACGTACAAATTGTCTGAGCTGCGTCCTGCCGCGGTAAAGAGATCCCCGCCGAAGGCCAACTGCCGTTGTCTCAACTTGCCCTCCTCTGAAATACGCACTTGGCCACCGCACTGTGACCTTCGACTGTTCGGACAAATAGACCCTTTACATCGTTTGGAACGTCAGTGCCGCAGCTCAGAGCCACAACTCAGGCGCTCGTCCTCCTTCACGTGCTGCTTGTTGTGGTTGTCCTCCCTTTTGGAGAGGTCGGCATCCCCCTTGTAGCAAGTAGCAGCGCGGAGTTCTTCTGGGCACTGGCAACTGTATCCAATATTTCCATAATTACCTTTCTTGCTTGCCGCCCCCCCCTCGGAAGGCAGTGAGCCTGTCGCCAGCCTAATGTTGGCTGACGTTTGGAAGCGTGGAGCTCAAAAAATCCCCCTCCTCCTCCTCCTCCTCCTCCTCCTCCTCCCCCTTCTCCGACGGCGGGGCGCGGTCCAGACGCTCATCGACCTGGCGCCGGCGCAGGTTCCCTTTGCCTCGCACCGGCCTCCCACGGACACCGCTGCCCAGCGACGGGCACGAGGGCCGGGCGACCGACCAGCGGCCGCTCCCGGCTGCGCCAGCCGGGATCTGTACACCCGTCACCAGGCATGCACGGGGCCCGGAAGAGCACCGCGAGCAAGAGGTAGGCGTCGTCGAGCCCCGCTCGCCTCCTCCCCCTTCCTCCCTCTCGTCCCTTCCTGCTTCGACCTCCTTCCTCTCCCCCTCCTCCCCTCCTCCCTGCATTCCTCCTTCCCCTCGTTCCTCTCCCCCTCCTCTCTCTCCACCTCCCTCCTCCCCCTCCTTCCTCTCCCCCTCCTCCCCCTCCCCCCTCGATGGACCGATCGATCGTCGCCATGCGAGGCCCCGCCGGGGCGCCGGCCTGCACCCAGCCAGCCGGCGTCCTGACCTCCGCGGGAAGGAAGTCCTTGGCGTGCCGGCGCGGTCGGGAGCGGCCGGTGGTGGCCATCTTGGAGCCGCCTTGGGCCGTATGGTGGCCATCTTTTTGCATCATTTCACCGATCCCCAGACATGACAGCGCCGCAAAGAAATCAGGACGGCCAATGTTTCAGTATTTTCGGCCCGTGGGTGCCCTCGCTGGGCCCTGGGACCGTCAAAAAACAACTCAGGGTGAAACACTGGCCCCGGGAAAGGGTCGGGACTTCCAGGGGCGCCGTCCTGAAAAAGTCGGGACGCCGCATGTCTGGGAACCGATCCCCATCCCCGACTGGCATGGCCATGGTCCCACTTCTCGATTCGGGCCCCTGGGTGGGGATATCTGGTCCCGTGTTGAGGGTTCTTCACAAGCCCCCCTCCAGATGGGATGGGCCCCAGGGTTCCACAGACCCCCCCGCAGATGGGATGGGATGGGGGACGACGCCGACGCCGACGAAAGACGACGACGGCGACGGCGACGCCGACGACCACCCTCCACCACGCAACGCCCGCCCACAGGGCCACGACAACAGGCGATGGGTCGATACCAGTCGCGATGCCTTCGTGAGGCTCACGGGGGTATCCATCCAGCGGGGGGGGGGGGCGATCTCATTAGCTGTTCCCTTCAAGTTTCGTGGGGCCCATCCCACACTGGGTGGTGGGTTATGGTGGGGCTGAGGTGCCAAGAAGGCCCAGTGGGGATCGGTTCAACGATGCTGAATCTTGGAGCCATTCTGAGGCCCAACAGGAAGGGGGCGGCGATCGCGCTCGGCCAGGGGTCGAGGGGACAAGCCTGCTGGGGCTCCGCCGGGAGCGGCACAGGTCTGGCGGGCCGTCTCTTCCACGTCCGGGCGTTTTTGGGGACTCCGCGGGCGGCGCCCCAGAAGTTCACGGGCGAAGAAGGGTATAACAGAAACTTTTTCGCTGTCGGGGGCGCCTGTCCCTGGGCGGCTGGAACGTTGATACCCTTACGGTGGCACCGTAGGGGTGTAAACTTTCCAGCCGCCCAGGGACAGGCGCCCCCCGACAGCAAAACAAATTATTTTATACCGTTCGTCGCCCGTTAAAGAAGGGCCGCTTTTTCTTGGCGGCGCGCACAGGAGGGTAGGAGGAGGGAGGAAGCCTTCTTAGAAAGAGGCTGCCTCTTTGAAGGCGCGGGCCTTACATTTATCAAGGAGGGCCGCGCATTCTAAGAAGCAGGGGTGCTTCTAAGAAGCCGTCCCCCCTCTCACTACCTGCCCCCTGGAGGCCGACATGCAATGGAAATGCCTACAGAGAACCACCTACGATACTGAAAACTGACATTTGCGTCGCATTCGCAGACGGAGGGGGGTCGTTTTCAAAATGTTGCTCTCGCCTGAGCGCCGCGCGCATTCGTCATAAAAGTCTGTAGCAATTTCAAAAACGCGAAAGGAGGCCATTTTCAACATGTAGCTTGCGCCTTCGCGCTGCCCAAGTTCGTCTTGAAATAATGTGCAATCTTCACGGATGGAGGTGGAGTAGTTTTCAAAATGCGGCTCTCGCCTCAGCGCGGCCCACATTCACCTTGATGTTTTTGCAACTGCTTCGCGGATGCCGAGCGGCTCGTTTTCAAGACAGGGTTTCGCCTAGGCCCCGCGCATACTCGTCTGACAAATTGCCTACTGCTTGGCGGATGGAGAAGGGTCGTTTTCAAAATGCGACTCTCGCTTTCCGCGTACATTCACTTGAAAAGCTTGCAGCCGATTCACGTATGGAGGGGGGCGTGCTTTCAAACTGTAGCACTCAAACTGGAGCATTCGCTGGAGCTTCGCGTGCATTCGTCTAGAACGTTTCCAGCAATTTCAGGGATGCAAAAAAAGGGTGGTGGCTTTCAAAATGGTGTTGCCGCCGTAATGACGCTTACAGACCCGAGATTTCGACGCATGTAGCGATGCACAGATCCATGGCGGCTCTTTTTCAACATGGGGGTGTCGCTTGAGACTTTCAAGAAGTTCGCGGCACACGCGCAGGCCTTTTGGAACAACTCCAAGGATGGGAGGGTGTTTTTCTGTTCGACGGGGTGCGCTCGCTGGACACCCCATTCGACTGTATGATCATTGCTTCTCGGGTTCCTGATTTTCATCAATCTGTGCACGACAAACCTTGTTCAAAACGGGGCCCTGGCAGAAATGGCAGGCCCAACTGTGCTGGTCTTTCAACCGGGTCGTTTCGTGTAGTAAAACGGAGGGCACGTATTAGGTGTATGATGGGGGGGCTTGGGAGGGAAGGGTGTGTTGCAACATCGTTTATGCATCTTCGGTGTGCTCTTTTCCTTCTCCCCCATGCTCTTACTTGATTTGGATATTATCCCAGTTGCACCCCCAAGCGAGCCGGTGGGGCGGGCGGGAGATTTTGCTTGAGACTTCCTCACCACTTATGATCCTGAAGCTTAAGTTTTGCAGCAGGTTCGCGGATGGAGCTGGGTTTGTTTTCAAATTGAAGCTCTCGCAGTAGCTCCGCGCGCACTCGCCGTACAAGTTTGCAACCACTTGGCCAGTGGATGCGGGGTCGTTTTCAACATGCGTTTGTCGCCTCAGTGCCGTGGGCACTCGTTCTGCACATCAGCTGCAGCCTCGCGGATGAATGGGGTGATCGGTTTCAGAATGGGGTTCTCGCCTTCGCGACGCTCACATGCGCCTAGGATGTTTTCAACAGTTTCACGGGTGGAGGGCTGTTCCTTTCAAAATGTGGCTCTCGCCTTCGCGCCGCGCACATTCGTTGTAAACGTTTGCAAGCAATTCAACGGAAGGAGATGAGGGGGAAATGTGGCTCTCGCCTCAGCGCCGCCCCCATTCGCCTTCAATGCTTGCAACCACTTCGCGGGACGGCTGTTCCGTATCAACATTTGGATTTCGCAGTAGCGCTGCGTGCACTCGTCCGAAACATGTACACACGTTTCATGGCTGGAAGAGGGACGTGTTCAAACTGTTGTTCTGGCCTTCGCTTGGAAGTTGTGCACAATGTTCAGGGACGGTGAAGGGGGAGGTTTTCAACATTGTGCTCTCGCCACAACGCCGCGGACATTCGTTCTTCGCGGATGGAGGGCTGATCTTTTTCAAGATGGACTTCTTTCATTTACGTTGCGAACGGTTGTGCCAGAATATTGTAACAACTTATGGTATTGAACACTCGTCGTTTTCAAAGAAGGTTGCTCGCCTCAGCGCCGCGCACATTCGCTTTTGAACGCAACTTTTGGCAGGATGGAAGACCACTCTTCTCAAATGGTTTGTAGTCTGGGGCTTCGTTGAATTTTGCATCCCGGATTTTGAACACACTCATGACTGCATTGATCCACGGTGGCTGTTTTTCAACATGGAGCTGTCGCTTGACGCTTCCTCAAAGTTCATGGCCACAGATGTAGGCCCTGTTGGACAGATACACGAGTGGAAGAGGGGGGCGGGCAGTTCTTTTCGAAAGAGGGATCTCGCTGGAGACCTTGTTGAGCTGTATGATCATTATCGCTCGAGTTCCTGATCGCGCGCCAAGGTGATGTATGTTTTCCAAGCGGAGCCCCCGCAAGAATGGCGTGCCCAACGGTGCTGGTCTTTCCAGGCGGGAGAGTTCGCGAAGGGTTATGAGCGGAGACGGCTTGGGACGAGAGGGCGCGTTGCAGCATCTGGTCCTTGTCCTCCTCCACCTCCTCCCTCCATTAATGCTCTTCTCAATAACTCGTCCCTGTCGCGCCCCCAGGCGTGTCGGTGGGGTAGGCGGCGCGTTCGCCTGAGACTTCTTCACCACTTGTGATCTTGGACCTTGTGCAACGCGTTGACTAATGAACTAAGGGTAGTTTTCAGAATGTGTGGCTCTGTCCATCGCGCCGCGCACCTTTGTCGTTGCAGCTTGCAGCAGACTCACGGATGGAATGGGGGGGATGAAATGTGGTCACCGCCTCAGCGCCACGCGCATTCTTCCCAAATGTTTGCAACAGTTTCGCGGGTGGAGGAGGGCGGGGGTCGTTTTCAAAATGTGGCTCTCGCGTCTGCGCAACACTTTGCAACCTATTCACGGATGGAAGAGGAGATGGTACTCAAAATACGTCTGTCGAACATATTCGTTTGGAACGCATGCAGCAAATTAACGGGTGGAGACAAGATTTACACTGTGGCTCTCTCGTCAACGTCGCACACATTCGTCGTACAAGTTTGCAACTGTTTCGCAGATGGAGGCGGGCCCGTTTAAACTTGTGGCTCTGGCATTTGCAGCAGCTGCACAAATGGAGGGCTGCTCCCTCCCAAACTGTGGCTCTCGCCTTAGCGCCGCGAGCATTCGTCTCAAACGCGTGCTGCAATTTAACAGACATGAGAGGGTCGATTTCAAAATTAGCTTTCGCTCTAGCGCCGTGCGCATTCGTCTTGAACGCTTGGGACATTCTCACGGATGGGGAATCGTGTTCAAAACGGTGCTGCCGCCTTGAAGCCGCGCGCATTCGTCATAAACATTCGAACTCGCTTCACTCATTCCTATTCGAAGTGAGGCTTCGCCGGAACGCCGCGCGCATTCGTTTTCTTTATATGCAGCGTTAAACCAGATGGGGGCTGCCCTTTGTCAAAGCGGGGTTCTCGCCTGAAACTTCGCACAGCGGAAGGACCCGGAGCTTCAACGCACGCACCGCTGCGTTGAAGCTCCGGGTCCTTCCGCTCGACACCTCGTTGAACTGTATGATTATTGTCTTTCGAACTTCGATTGCGCGCCAGGAACATGCAAGACATTTGCTGTTCAATGTGGGTCTGTTGCCTCAATGGCGGGCCCAAGCGTGCTGGTCTTTTCAGCGGCCCCCTTATCTAGTTCAAAGAAGGACATGCAAGAACGTGTGAGGAGGGGGCTTGGGACGGGAGCGTGGTCTGCAGCATCGCTGCTGCATCTTTGGTTTACTCTGGTCCTCCTCATCATCCTCCTCCTCATCCCTCTCCCCCTCACGCCTCCTCCGACTCCTTCCTCGACAGCCCTCGCGGGGAGGCGGGTCCGCGTGAGGCCGCAGGCCCGTGGCCATGAAGAAGCGGTCGGGGTAGGAGAGGCCCCGGCGCTCCCAGAAGTCGCCCTCCCCCTCCTGACGCATGACCTCGAGGCGCGGCTGGTGTTGTTGTTGGTCCTTCCCCCTGCTTGTGACTCCGGAGCACGGCGACGGAAGGCGTTTGGCCGTTTTCGGCCTCCCGGGGCCCTCGCGGGGCCCTGGGACAGTCAAACAACGACTTGTGATGAGAAGCCAGCCCTTTGGGGAGAGGGTTGGGACTCTTGGGGGGCCCGATATGAAAAAAACAATACATCAGATGTCGGCCCCTGCATCCCGAGCCAGTGTCCTTCCGGTATGTACGGGAAAAAACCCAAAAAGGCCAGATGGGGACCAATCATAAGCAAACGAGCACGCACAGAACTCCCTGCATGTCTGAAGGCAACAGCTTCCCACGACAGAACAAAAAACAAGCTTAATCGGCAGGTCCTTGGCTGGGGCCTGGTCGTGTTTTCATGAAGTTGCTGTTGCTGCTGCTGTTGTTGTTGCTGCTGTTGCTGCTGTTGGTGATGTTGTTGTGGTCGTTGTTGTTGCTGTTGTTGTTGCTGTTGCTGCTTCTGTTGCTGCTGTTGCCGTTGTTGTTGCTGTTGTTGTTGTTGTTGTTGGCGTTGGTGTTGTTGTTGCTGCTGCTGGTGATGTGTTGTTATTGTTGTCGTTGTTGTTGCTGTTGTTGTTGCTGTTACTGTTGTTTATGTTGTTGATGTTGTTGTTACTGTTGAATTCTCAAGCCTAAAAACAAACATTGCTGGTCCCCCTGCCCAGTCACCATTGCATGCGTTCAAGTAAAATGCTCCTCCCAAGGCTCGCACCTGGTTTGTTAGAACGGAAAGCTTGGTGTCATCAAACTGCGCCCCTGGCCCCCCGCCAGAGACTTCCTCACATTGTATTCCCAAATCGCGCTGTCGCTCAGGATTTCATCACAATTTATAAGAGGGATCGCACTTTCGCGTGGGACTTCCCCGCCATTTATTCAGACGCCGCGTGCTCGACACTCAGGAATCACGCTTTCGCTATGGATGTCCTCGCAATTTACTGTCGCTCAAACCTTCTTGCGATTCATAAAGGACGCACGCTTCAGCCACCCGCCCGCTCGACCTGGCGGCTTGGGCTCGCCTTCCCGACCGCCAGGTAGGGTCTGCCCGCCCCATCTGCTCATCTGGTTCTGCCACGCGTTTTCTGCTCCTGGTCCCCTCCTGTCTCTCTCGTGCTCCCACCTCCTCCGTCCCCCTTGTCCGCTCCTTCCATCCGTCCTCTCTTCCCCTGCCTTAGAGGCTGTACGAAATACACGTTGCAAATAAGAAAGATATACCCGTAATGGGGGTACGATCGAATACGAAGAGGGCGGGTACCGAAAGTTTTGGATATACGTGCTGGGTGGCACGCGAGCAGATAAGAGCGAACAGTCTTGACATGATTGTTGTTGTTGAAGTTGTTGTTGTTATTGTTGTTGTTGTTGACATTTCATTTCCGAGTAATAACTAAGGCTGGTCCCCCATGCCTGGTGCACATTGTAATTTTTCGGTTGAATTACCCTTCCCGGGGCTCGCACCCTGTTTTTTTAATCAGGGAAAATATTGAGCGCGTCAAACTGCGCCCAAGGCCCCCGAGTTACAGCAACAACAACAACAACGGCTCCCGTCTGATACTTCCTCACACTGTATTCCGACATCGCGCTCTCGCGCGGGACTCCCTCACAATGTATGCAGGGATCGCGCTCTCGCGTGGGAGTTCCTCACAGTTTATTCAGACTCCGCGCCCTCGAATTCAGGAATCACGCTCTCGCTGTGGATGTCCTCGCGATTTATTTGGGAATCGCGCTTTCGCTTGAGATTCCTGGTGATTCATGCAGGACGCACGCTTCAGCCACCCGCCTGCTCGACCTGGCCGCTTGGGCTCGCCATCCCGACTCGCCCGGTAGGGTCTGCCCGTCCGGTCTGCCCGTCTGGTTGTACCACGTGCTTTCTGCTCATAGCCCCCTCCTGCTAAATTCTCTCATGCTCCTTCTTCCTCTCCCTTCCCTCTGACCTCTCCTCCCCTGTTTTGGGGGCTGCACTAAATTCGAAATGCGCGTGGCAAGTACGGAAGATATACACCCGAGGGGGCACGATCGAAAACGAAGAGGGCGGGTACCGATGTCTTGGGATATGATATACGTGTTGAATGGCACGCGAGCAGATCTGAGTGAACAGTGTTAAAGTGAATGAGGTTGTTGTTGCTGCTGATGCTGGTGTTGTTATTGTTGTTGTTGCTGTTGCTGTTGCTGTTGCTGTTGTTGCTGTTGCGGTTGCTGTTGCTGTTGTTGTTGCTGTTGCTGTTGTTGTTGCAGTTGCCGTTGAGTTCTGATTTCTTAACCAGAATGATCATTGACCCCACACTCCAATGCAACTCATGTTTTTTTCAACGTCAATGCCCCTCCCAAGGCTCGCACCCTGTTGATCCCCCATCTCTCCGACGCCCCTTGTATTTTTAATTGAAGTGCCCCTCCCGGGGCTCGCTTCCTTTTTTTGTCCAGGGAAAGTCTTGCGCCTCAGACTATGCCCCTGCCCTTCGGTTTACAACAGCAACGCTTCCCGCCTGATACGTCCTCAGTCGCGCTGCCGCTCAGGACTTCTGTGCAAGTTGCCCAGAAATCGCTCTCTTGCATGGTACGTCCTCCCAAGCTATTTGGACGCCGCGCCCACGACACGAACGAAACACGCTCTCGCTTTGGACTTCCTGGCGATTTAATTCGAGGTCGCGCTATCGCTAGAGATTTCGGACTGGCGCTTCAGCGACCCGTCCGCTCGACCTGGCTGTCAAGGCCAGCCCGCCCGACCCGCTTTTTACAGTTCGCCCACCCGACCCGCTCGTCTGGTTCTGCCGCTTGCTTTCCTGCTCCTTCCCCTTTTGCCCCTTCCCTCCTCCCTCCATTCCCCTTGCCCCTTCCCTCCTCCCTCCCTTCCCGCACTCCTTTCCTCCTCGCTTTCTGGTACATATACTTATTTTGTGTTGTTGCTGACTCCCTCCTCTTCCTGTTTTAGAGGCTGCGTCGGCTACTCGTAAGATACACCCCAAAACGGGGGCACGATCGAAGACGAAGAGGGCCGGAACGGAGGGTTCGGAATACAGATGTTGATTGATGCGCGACGACATGAGAGCGAACGAACTTTCAAGGATTGCTGATATTTCCTTTCTTGAAAATAACTGTCGCTGATCCCCCCCGCCCGGTGCCCATGGTGTTCTTCAACTGACGTGCTTTCTACGGGGCTCGCCCTGGCCCCCGACTTACAACAGCAACGACTCCCGCCTGATACGCCCTCACATAAATCGCACTCTCGCGCGGGCCTCCCTGGCAACTTGCCTAAGATTCGTGCTCTCGCGGGGGGACCTCCCCACAATTTTTATCGAGACGCTGCGCCCACGACGCTCGGGAAGCACGCTCCCGCTCTGGACATCCTGGCGACATGCTTGAGAATCGCAGTGTCGCTCGAGACGTCCTTGCGACCCGTGCAGGACCGACGCTTCAACGACCCGCCCGCTCGGCCCAGCCCTCTGGGCCCGCGCGCCTGGCGCTCCTGTTCCTGACCTCCCTCCTGCTAGTCCCTCTCGTGCTCCACCCTTCTCCCTCCCCGTTGCCCGTTCCCTCCTCCCCACCTTCCCCTGCTCTAGTGGCTGCGCCAACTGCACGTGGCGAGCAAGGAAGATTCACCCCCGAGGGGGGGGCGTTCGATCGAAGACGACGAGGGCAGGTACGGGGGGTTTGGGATGAACATGTTTTAGTGCTAACTCCTCACGTCTGCAAACAAATGGTTGATCCCCCCTCCCCAATGCCCACACTTTGTTTTTCAATTGAAGTGTCCCTCCAAGGGAAAGTCTTGTGGCTCAGATGTTGCCCTTGGCTCCCGTTTACAAGGCCGCATCCACTTCGTGGGCCGCACGGCCTCCCACGCCACCACAATGTGCGCAGGGGGCACACCTTCTGGGTAAGGAAAAAACAGCTTCTGACGATGCTGCGTGCTGGGGGACGGTCAACGACACGGCCCTCTTCTCTACAGGTTGGGTCGAACGAGGCCGTGCCAGGCCTCGTTTTTGTGCCTCGCCTCCCAAGAGGCGGTCGGCACGGTTGGCTGCGTCGATCTCGGCCTGAGGTGGCGGAGCGACGAAGCCAGCCAGGAAGAAATCACTACACAATGTCTTGCGCCTGCCGCGCCTCCGGGGTCTCAATCGCATGAGCCAGCAGGCGTGGCCGGGGAGAAAACTTCAGTCGGCAAACAGGGCACACCCCAGAGGCGGGGGGGAACGCTTGGAAGGGCGTGCGCTCACCATGCTTTGCTCTCCGATGAGAGGCCAGGGCCTGCTCGGAGGGGAATTGGGAGGAGCAGGTGGGGCAGGTAAAACGAGCCACTGGGGTAGGCAAGGGAGTCTGCTCAACGGGCGAGTCAAACTGCATCTCAAGAAGGTGCAGTCGCTTTACCAAGGATTTCCACTGACTGGGAAAACGGATAATGAGTGCCTCCCACCTCTCGGGGTGTTCCGAGGGCGGGCCGCTCTGGACTTCCTCACGATATCCGCCGCCGTGCCTAGCACGCAGTGGAGTGACCCAAGGCTCATGCAGCCCTGCAGAATTCAGAATTGTAGGGCTCCAGAAAGTTGGAAGGGCCCAGGCCACTGGTTTCACAAGGATTTCCAAGGATTCCCCGGATTTTCACGGGTTGCCCAAGAATTCCTCTGGATTTCCTGGGATTCCCCGGGCGTGTCGCGCGCGTTCTCTGGTGGCGCAATTGGCCAAACACGGTCCCAAAAAGTGCCCAAGAGGGCCGAGGATGCTTCCGAGAAGGCCCAAGAGTGCCCCAAGGCGCCCAAGATGGCCTCAACTCGGCCCAACAGGCCCCGAAGACATCCCAAGAGTGTTCCAAGAGGCGTCCCAAGAAGGCCCCAAGAGGCAACAATCATTGACTTTCCTACGGTTTTTGCCAAGTTTTGGCAGTCTCGCCGTTTCGGCTTTCCGACGCTCCAAGACGGCCCACGAGGCCCCTGATATCGCCCCAAGATGGCCCCAGAAGTAACCACGA